GATTTATTTATGCAATCCAAGAAAAAATATCTCATGAAATGATATCATTATATTAACTTTCCATTATACTAAGAAACAAAAAATGTAACAATTTGGTTTATGTTCAAGTACAAACCAATTACATTAAACAGCTGCATTTCTAAGAATTAACTCAAAAAAAATGTAATATCTAGTTTAATTTCTTATTTACATGAAGATATTGGTTGATATATCCTCAACTTGCAACCAAGTATACCCTCCCTATATCCCTTACTGACCCCAAATCCCATCCCCACTTTGTTCCCATACTCTGCCTTTGTGTCAACTTTAGCTGTAAACAAATACCTCTCACCCCTGTTTTCTACATTTTCACAGGATGTGCTAAACAAAAAATTATTTACGGACATGTACAATGCCAATTCGACAAAATATCTCCCCACAACTCTATTTTTCACCAATGTTAATCCCCCATTCCACAATGATAATACTAGTTTTTATTTATTTTTTCACTTTCTTCACACATGTTTGAACGCGTGTGTGTATATACATATGACAAAGTATTTTTTTTATCAAAACTAAATAAAAAAGAAATGCTCAAAGGATGGATCTATGATATGTGTTGTGGAAAAAGCTTTATCGGAAATTTCAACTTTTGATGTGATAAATGACATGGAAATATTAAATACTGATGAATTGACATTAAATGAGTGAAAGGAGACGCAAGCTGATGTGGTATAATGGTTTCATAAAATCCTTTATTTTTATAGTTCTATTGTATTAATAAGATCTTTTCATTAGGATTTATTGTTGTTGCTATACCATTCTTATTGTCTTTCAAAATATTAGACAAATAACATGTTTGAGTAAAAAATCAAAATGAATTTAGAAGTAAAAATTAGACTTATCCATGGATTAAGTGACTTATCAAACCTGACTCAAGTTGAGCTTCGAATAGATTTCGTTTGATAATATTTTTAATTTATCTTTTTTTTATACAAAAACAAAATAGAATGTAAAACTAAAAAAATTAGTAAAAGTATCAAATAAATCAAACCTAATATAATTGTTTAAACAAAAAAAAATTAAAATTTTTTGAAAAGAGAATCATGCACTAACCAATAAATCAAATGATTGAGAGAAAAAACAGTTTTTAGGTTAATGAAATTCATCAAAATAATGTGCTGACAGAGAGTACGCATATCAAATTCGTGATAAATAGATGTCAAGTTTTCTAGTATGATGGTAGTATTGTGACTGCAAGTCCTGATATTTGGTATGGACAATAGAAGATGAGTGCTTAATGTCAAGATGCTTGGAAGACTTTGGTGGTTTTCCTTGAATTTGGTCCACACGTCAAGGGACTAATTTTCCCCTTTCTTCTTTTGAAGTTTTGGCATACCATTAATTCTAAGGAACCTGAGTCGTGAAAAAGGAAGCAATCTTGTCTACAATGGTTAATTTAGTGGTATATAAGAATAATGGACATCAGTAGATCGGTAGATCCCTTAACAACCAAGACATTTCCAATTATGGACATTAGTCACAGCTACAGCAACAACCCATCTTCCGTTTTCCTGGAATATTTTTTTCTCTTGCTCGTTCACTTCCTACTGCTCTTATCGTCATGTTCAGGTAATGGCAATGTCAGCGACAAATGCGTAGAGACTGAGAGAAAGGCACTTGTCGATTTCAAGGAAGGTCTCACCGATCCTTTTGGTTGACTTTCCTCTTGGGTTGGATTGGATTGCTGCAGATGGCAAGGGGTAGAATGCAACAACCGAACCGGTCATGTCACTCAGCTTGACCCCCATAGTTATTTCTTGAGTGGTCAGATAAAGCCTTCTTTGCTTCACTTGAAACATTTGAGTCACCTGAGTTTTATGGGCAATTCTTTTTGTGGAAACGAGATTCCCAAGTTCTTTGGCATGTTAAAGAACTTGAGAGTTCTTTAATCTCTCCTACTCATGCTTTGCTGGAGAGATTCCACCTCATCTAGGGAACTTATCAGCCTTGGAGTTTCTTGACCTGAGTATGAATGGTGGTTTGCATGCCAAAAGCCTCCTTTGGCTTTCAAGTCTGTATTCACTGGAATATTTAAATCTAGGAAGGGTGAACCTTGTTGACGTAGGAGGACATTGGTTGAAAGCAGTTAACATGCTGCCATCTCTTTCGTCTTTATATTTGTATGATTTGTGGGCTTACAAGCCTTGATCTCACCCTTCCATCAGTCAACTTCACTTCACTTGAGGTCCTCAATTTGTTTGGCAATTCAATTAAGTCTCCATGATCGCACTGGTTCTCTAACCTAACCAATCTTGAAGTGCTTAATCTAGCATCAAATATTCGCTTCGGTGGTACAATTCCGGGTTGGCTCGGAAATTTGTGCAAGTTGAGAGTTTTGAGACTCAATTCGAACAATTTCCACGGTGGAATTGTTGAGTTCCTGGACCGTCTCTCAGCTTGCCATAAGAATAGTTTAGAGTACCTTTATTTAGGAGGCAACGACCTCGAAGGAATCTTGCCAGCATCACTAGGGGCACTCAAGAATTTGCAAGAATTGGACCTCAACACTAATTTCATTTGGGGTTCAATTCCGGCTTCTATAGGGAACCTGTCATCCTTGAGTTTATTGGAACTCTCTCATAATCATCTCAATGGATCAATTCCCGAAAGTTTTGGGCAAGTCACCGAGCTATCCATAGTGGATCTACAATCAAACCAAATGGAAGGTGTTTTGACAGAAGCCCATTTAGCGAATCTCACAAAATTGAATTCTTTCAGGCTCACAACATACCCAAAGAAGTCATTGATTTTTAACGTGAAACATGACTGGGTTCCTCCTTTCAGGCTTAGAATCCTCACATTAATTAATTGCCTGGTAGGTCCTTCTTTTCCAGTTTGGCTTCAAGGTCAAAGCAATCTTTCCTATGTTATAATTTCCAATGCTGGGATTTCGGACACTATAGAAGAAGAATGGTTTGCCAGATTATTTTCTAAGTGTTGGTACGTAGATCTTTCCAATAAAAACATCAAGGCCAAGTTACCCAGACAAATTTACTCAGAATGGCTAGATATTATTGATTTGAGCAGGAATAGCTTCGAGGGCCAGATCCCACTTTGGTTGACTAATGCAAGGCAACTGTATCTCCTGAGAAATTCATTTTCAGGTTCTATTCCAGACAACATTGGGGAACTAATGCCAGGGTTGCAAACATTCTTTCTTTCTAGGAACCAGATCAGTGGTAGTTTGCGATCATCAATATGCAAAATGAAGGGTCTAAATTTTCTTTCTACCGGGCATAACAGGTTCTCTGGAGAACTTCCAAATTGTTGGAATGAATTGCGAAGCTTGAAAGTTCTGGATATCTCAAACAATAGCCTCTCTGGTAAAATCCCAAGTTCCCTGAGTTCGTTATGTGCCCTCGTTTTGTTGATATTGAACAACAACAATCTTCGTGGCAATATTCCTTGTCCACTACACCGTTACCGGAATGTACCTCGGCTTTACATTTTACAGCTTCGGTCGAACCAGCTAGAGGGGAACATTCCTGAACAACTTTGCCGTCTTTCTGATATCCACGATTTGGATCTTTCAGACAATAATTTTAATGGATCCATTCCGAAATGTTTCCATAATTTCACCGGCTTGAAGTATGGAAATACAAGTTTGGATTACGAAGAGTTATTTGACCTCCAAGATAGTACCATTAATGAACAGACACTCCTGGTTGGGACCAAGGGAAGGGAACTTGAATATAGCAGAACTCTTCTGCAGGTCAAGAACATTGACCTTTCGAAGAAAGATCTTACAGGTGAAATCCCGGATGGGATACTTAGATTGGCTTTTTTGGACAACTTGAATTTGTCAAGAAATCATTTAAGTGGAAGCATTCCCAATAATATTGGCGACCTGCGGTTGTTGGAATCTCGACCTGTCGCAGAACAATCTTTCAGGGACGATTCCTCCAAGCCTCGCGTCTTTGTCATTTTTGGCTCACTTGAACTTATCTTACAACAACTTGTCAGGAAGAATTCCAACAGGGAATCAGCTCCAAACATTCAATGATTCGTCCAACTACGAGGGCAATCCATTGCTCTGTGGGGTTCCCCTCCAAACAAGGTGTGCAGGAGACAACTCTCCTTCGACGCCATCATCTCATGGTGCTGATGATTCAAAAGACAAGCTATGGCTCTACCTTAGCATTGCTACGGGGTTTGCTGTGGGATTTTGGAGTGCTTGTGGTACCTTAGTTTTGAAGCAGTCGTGGAGGCATGCTTATTTCCGGTATGTTGATAACTTGAAAGAAAAAATGTTACTTTGGATTTCATTGAAGGAGGCTCGCTTGCGAAGGAAGTTTGGGAAGGGAAATAATTAAAATAGGATTAAACTATGTACTTGGTCTGAAGATATGTGTTTTTTCTTCTTTTGTTTGGTTGTTGCAGCGCAGTGTATTATCTTCTATTTTAATCTTTAATCTCCAAAATTATATGAAATTTTGGTATTCAAGTAAGATTCTTTAAATCAATTACGTGACATTTTTTATTAACAATTAGTAAATAAAAATTAAATTTATAAATTTAAATTTATAAATTGAAAGATCTTATTACATAAATTAAATACATAAAATTATTTTTATTTAGATTGGCGGAAAGAGATTTAATCTGTTTATTAGAGTAGATAGATAAATGTATAAATGCACAACTCATATGGTTTTTAGATTTATAAATATGGCCTTATGTTAAAAAATATATTTGATTGATATGTAAGACTCACTTATATTCAAATATAATTATTTCGTTTTACATAAAAAAAAGTAAAAATTTGAATAATTACTTTGTTGTATACAAGAATATAAGTAAAATCATGCATTTTATTATTTGTAAGACTAATATTTTAAGCCGAAGAGGGAGCATGTTGGTAAGATAGGCCTGCGCAACAGCCCACAAAAACCTCATAAAATGGATATCAACGTTTAAAACACAAGGCAGCAAGCGGAAGTGCCGACTACCTAGTGGATAAAGCGGAAGTGCCGCTATATAAACCACTCTTGCGGCCAATAAATACACAGTTCATGGCTACTGCCATTAACCCTTTACTTCCTCTTTCTCCTTCACTCAAACACACCATTTTTCCTTCTTCAACTCCATGGATTTCATGCAAACCCATCTCGGGTTCAATGGCTACTTTAACCATTCCTCGCTTCAGTCGACAAAGAGGACAGGTTGCAGTCTCAGTCTCCTTCAATCCTTCCGGAAATTTTGACCTCTCCTTGTATGGGGATGAGGATGGTAACGACTGATCAATTTCACTACTAGCTAGAATGTTGTTTCGTTTTGAGATATAATTTTGGAAGTTGCTTTTTTATTTCTTGGTCTCAATTTGTGCTCAATGTTTGATTAAAACAATTCAATTTTGGGGGAGGAAAAACAAAAAGGGGAAAAGGAAAGAACAAGAATCTGATACTGATAGCGTGCGGTATATAGGAATATTTTGTTGCAAAGTTCTGGAATTTGGAAATAGAGACTGAAATTACAAGATGGGATGTTAAAATTAGAATTCTGGAAAAGTATCTAGTACTGGTAGATAAGGGTCTGAACTACTGATAAGTATAATTTAGCTATTTTTAAGTTTTATACTATGCCCAGTTACCCATGATTAAAATTGGAAATTTATGTTAAATCTGTTTTTAAAACTCTGTTACCCACAGATTCACCCCAAGCAGAGCCTCCATTGCCTCCAAGTGAAGGCCGATTTGATGTAGTCATTGATAATGATGCTATACGCCGGGTTGATTTATCCCCATTTCAGATTGCTACTGGAATTACTTCACCTTCATCAGGTAGAAATCACATATAGATTTTCCTTTGCTTATATTTTCATAAAGTTTTAGGTTGTAACCCTGATAAACTCTACTATCTTTGCAGCCGAAGCAAAAGAGTTTCTTGAAAGAACAATTGGATTTACTATTAATTATGCAAGAGATGATCCACATGATCCACGAGAACTGTCAGAATTTCCTGATATAAGGTTATGGTTTGTAAGACTTGACGCTACTTATCCTTGGCTCCCTGTCTTGTTGGACTGGCGAGCTGGAGAATTAGCGCGTTATGCAGCCATGTTAGTCCCGCACCAGGTAATGTCGATTGAGATATATAGAACACCCAGTTGAGGGGCAGAGAAAATATTTTTATGGCCTAATTTTTTTTTTCTTTCCCGCTCGTACGTGTTGGCAGATGAGCATGAGAATGGGAGTTGTGTTTAATCCAGAGGCCCTGGAGTTGTTCATCATGAAGAAGGTCTTCATTGTATACGCATGGTTGAAACAGCAAAGCATTCCAAAGCCTAGACTGAAGACAAGTGACATGGCTAGGATGCTTGGATTTGGGATCGGAGATGAGCTGTTTGACTTGATTGATGAACATGCACTTGATTCATCATAAAATAACCGGGAGCTAGTCCATAATTCCAGCTCGCTCTTCCAACATTGCCTCCACGGTTTTTGGATTAAGCCTCCTAAGCGATATAGCTTTCGAATTGCCCCATAATTTGGGATTTTAAATCAAGCCAAACTAAGGAGGGTTTGTTCAACTATTAGCACAAGGATTGGATTTGGCTGCATTACCCACCTTCTCTGTGGTTGTATAATAAATTTTAACTCTAGAAGAAAGAAAGATGAAAACAAAAAATCAGCAAAACTATATTATTGTTATTTAAATGTTCGTCACTTTGGTCTACTTCTTAATTGCTTGGCAGCAATCTATAATTTATTTTGCTCCATTTATTCTGAGTAAATTTCGATGGGTTGATATAAAACATCAAATTCTGTTAATTAGACAAACTCCGACGATATTTTATATCTTTGCTCCGATTAGGAATTAAAAACGAGTTGTAGTTGCTTCGAAGATCCGCAGACACCAATATTTTAGTTTTAAGTGGGCAGCAGTGTGTTTGGGCTATGGTCCAATTGGCTTGTAATAGGAAGCCACTCATCTAGCGGAGCCTACTAACATTGTGTTGAATCAGGCCTACATTTATTAAGGTGCATTCTCCTTTGTCCTTTTTCCTGAGAAACAGAGGTGTATTTTCTTGTTTTACCATTAAAAAAAAGGGAAATTTATAAATGTGCTTCTCACACTATTGGCCATTTGGATGCATGAGAAGAGAACAAAAAAAAGGGTCCTCATCAAATTTAAATTAATCCAAAACATATTAAACTGAGTAATTTGAAATTTGATCACTAAATCAAAGATTTCATTCACTAGTGATGGATAAAACAAGAACGAAATCATTCTTTTTTCCTAGTCATAATCTAATAATTTTGACACACCACTATGAAGTTTTGTCCCCTTCAAATCACGTTTCTTTTGCGTTGCTGATTCCCCTTTAGGTTATTATCTTAAAGCTGGCTATCACCTAATGTTCATCTTATGCAGCTGTAAAGCGAGCTATGGAGTTTCAACGTGTCACGTATGGTGCTATGACCCCTACTGGGGTATTCTTCGCCAGTCTGGATGGGGTTTGTTGGAGCTGGTTGGATGTTTGTCTATGTTGGTAAGTGACTACGACTCTGACCCAGTTGGTTGGAGCATGATGTGGAAATTTTGCTCTCTGCTCTGCCTTTTGTCCAATGTCTTCTGCTGGTTTGGCCCTTCAAGGTGGCTGTTTGCTGCGTTACTGTGAACCTGCGTTCCGGTGAAGAAAGAAGAATTGATACTGGGATGGTGTATTATTGCCAGGGAAAGGATTATGATTCGCTGAGGAATGCTCTGTCACGCTAGCTTTCAATTTTGAACTGTCCTGGTTTAACTTCTCTGCGCGGTTTTCTGGTTGATGCATTTCAGAGAATGGGCAAGAGTCATGGTTTTGTCTAACATATGTGCTATGCAAAGGTGGGGAGACCAGGAAAGGGTGTGAAGGGTCAGTAGTGATGACTTTGAAAGGATGTTTTGGCTGCCTGATGATTTGGATATTAAACTGCTGTGGTTAGTTGGTATGACAGATAAAATGAGTGTGCTTGTACAGGGAAAGGACACCGGGTTGTGGTGGGATGACCATGCTTGGGCCATTTGTTGGTCATTTTAGGGAGTCTTTTATGCTTACTCTGATCCCATCTGCAACTGGGTTGAAGGTTTTGTTTCTTTCGTATACGCAGAAAAGGGAGGTATAGCCCTGATTGGTTCTCTCTGCATCACTACCATACAAGGGTGGTTCTTTGTATATTACCTTGAGGAATGAAATCACCTTAAACGCTTTTCCAAAAAAAAAAATTAGGATTGATATCAGATTATTTTCGTAATTTTTATTTTTGAAAATTAATATTTCATTTCATTAAAGGGAATATCTCAAAGAGTACAAGTTCTATTGGGAAGTGCGACCAAAGAGAGATCAGTCTGGACTCCTATCATACAAGACTGGCCGACGTAAGAATGCCAGTGAACCGTACTGTGTTCCTATACACATAGGAACACACTCATAATCTTTACACTACATTTCCATTTGAAATTGACAGACTTTGCATGCACCCGAACCTATGACGGAGAAACAGAACCTGCATGCATGTTTCTTTTTCTTACTTCGCCTTACGCAAAATCTGCATTTGTACGCATTCTACAGATTGCTCAAAATACAACACCCACTTTCACAAAAAATGTGGCCCTGTCTCCTGAAACCATCTCTTCCAATCAGCATACCCACCTATCATTGCCATCCAACATTCGATCGGTAAACATGTCATCATGTATTTCAGCCACAATCTGGTCGGTTTCCATCTTGGCAGTATTCCATTTCATCTCCACCACCATCCTATTCCATCCAGAAGTATCCGCCTTCTGAAAACACACAGCCAAAGAGACAGAAATTCCAAACGATGGTCAAGAACCTTTTGCTTAACTATATCAACAGAATGTCACAACGATATATACTGGTACCACATAGCATCCGAAAAGCCATCTTTTCCTTTTTGCTCAATCCAACCAGGCAGAACGCAGCTCATTCAAAGTTTCCATAAAAATAAAACCTGTTAAAGTAAGCATCCTTAGAGGAGCTCATCATTTGCAATACAACATGACTCATGAACACAAGAACTCCCCCATGCCATCAAGAACTTTGGCTCAGCTCATCCAACCAGACACTTAACGATCAAACAAAATTCCATAGCATAGACCTGTTTAAACTAGGCATTCATCATTTGTGCTGATTGGAAACAATTTTCTTTACAATATCCATTCATTTGTGCTGCAAGCTTCACCAACCATGGATTTGGCTAACATGTCGATATTCAAATCATTGTTGATAAATTTCCATAATTAGAAAAGCCTGTTGAGTGCAGACATATAGATAATGATGGCATCTTCCTTCAGTCGTTCATTTGTTGTGAAAATGGCTAGTCAAATTGGTGAATCTGTCCTTTTCCTAGTTACTCATGGCTCTAATTGCTCTCATTGTTTTAGATCAATCTTTAACAATAATAGGCGAGGAAACAGGTAAGGCCCTCATAGTAAAGACTTGCAATAAGATAAGAGTATCCTGAAGACTGCATCTCGATCGGTACTGGAATCAGATCCTTGTAGCTTCATTTCCACTATAACTTGCAATTACCAGTATTGCTTTGGAGATACCAGCATCGAAGGCCAACAGTTCCTTATCAGTTTCTAAGCATCGGACGAATCATTCAGTTGATTATCCCAGTTGGGGTTAGGCTGTAGTCTGCGTGAATTATGACAAGGATAGCGTCTATTCCATGAAGGACAGTCTCAAAGCCTTTGATGAGTTGAAGTATGATGAATCGTACCAAAGTCTTGAATCTGTTAACAATCTTGTTACTGCCTGCAAAAATGTTGGCTTCGAAGTCTCAAACGATGTCAAGGCAATGAAGTTTAGGATCCACCAAGGATGTCATGGTTATCTTGCCGCTGCTTCCTAATCGGTCAATTCGAAGATGGCTTCTAATCTTCTAAGCAACAAATCACTAATCACATCTGTTGATTCCATATATGGGAGTTCCTTTTTCAGTTTTTCTATTTCCTTCTTTCAATAATGTGCTCTTGTCCTCAAAGGAAAACTCTGACAGTTACAATTTCGATTTATTCTAATTTAGAGATTTCAAATTGAAAACTAGGATTCAGATCAATAAGATCCAAGTACCACCTGGGTGAAAATTTAGGCAAAGATTTATGGAACTGGCCATATCCTTCAAAAAGATGCTTATTGTCGAAAATGGTCGGCTGCTTTCACCTTGGTGTCATTTTTCTTTTCCGGTGCTATGATTGAAGCTCTCCTTTTCACAATGTTAGCTTGTAAAAAGCTGGAACAAATCATTAATTGAATGATAATGAAATAATCTTGTCCCAAATTAAACTGCGTGTGCATAATTATTCCGACAAGATATAAATCATTTCACCGACTAATTTCTTTCCTTTTCTCTTATTAAATTCTCTCAGATTATTGTGATTCACAACGTGGTGCAAGATATAAAGGAATCCAGCTATTCAGGCATGCAATCGCCTAACAATTAGGTTAAAGTGATTATCGTTTCTTATATGCATAGTAAAAACGACCAAAAAGAATTCACTTTACTAGCCTTCTTTAAAAACGACCAAAAAGAAAGTCTTTGTCCTCCAACTAGGCCTTGTCTAATCAATTGGGGTCATGTCCGTGGTCGGTGAATTCTTCGGCAACCTTGCCGGAGCACTATACTGATCACCGCCAACTCGAAAAGGCTAACCAAGGTCATGAAAGGATGGACTCACGTTATAAGGGCTAGCTAGGGGCGGGCCTCACGCCCCATGTGAGAAGGTACCACGAAACATGTGCGAATGGGAAAATAGTAGGCATGGGGAAGGGATAGACAGGAACGAGAAAAGGATATGGATATGAGAGATTGATGAATGGAAAGATGTGTGCTTTTGTTTCAATGCTTTAGAATGGTGAGACAATGTCGCCAAATAGTCAATGCTTAGTGCAATCACACTCCCTCATATTTTCTTCTCTTTTGGTTGAACAAAGTTGTTTGCAACTATAGCTAGTCGACGAGCTACTTCTCGTAAAGGCTCGTGGGACCTCCACCTCTTCGTTCTGTCTCTCCATATATGTATATATATATATATATATATATATATATATATATATATATATATGGCCATTTCACGAAATTAATGACCTTAATTAGTTTATATTATTATCTTAAGAAATCTTGACCTGTGCTTCAACAGTTTGCATTGGTTCCCAAAGGTAATCCAAGTCAATCATGCAACGCAACAAAATTACCGTCTCAAACAGTGTTAAAGATGTTTTAGATATGATATGCGTTAAAACTATAATCTGTTAACAACACCAGAAATTAAATATTTAAATCTCAACTCCCATATCAAAATTTGTCAATTTTTGCTAATTTTTAACAAAACTTAAACCTCAAAATGCTGTTAATTTCCCCGTCCTTTCCAACTCCTTTCTCTTCCTACCAAACTCACTCTTAATCCGTGATCTAGAGCAGTTCAATCCATCTACGTATACGCAAAAAGGGCAAATTCGTGTGGCTAGGCAGCCAGATATTTTTATAGATTATACTGAAGCATTATTGTAGCAAAGCTAAAATGTCCTTACAAAGACGAAGCTAGTCAAATTTTGTTGAAGGAGTCAAACACAAAAGAAGAAGGGTTAAAATTTTTAAAAAAATTAAAATGTTAAATTCAATCAGCAATAAAAATATTGATAATAAAAATATGAAACTATAATTTGTAAAAT